CCTGTGTACGTCTTGGGGAGTCAGCCTATTCCTAGAAGGAGGAAGACCAGACTGGACTGCAGGAAAAATGAGCAGTGTCAGCCACACCGTAAGACTATTTCTAATCATAGCCCCACTCATTTCATTACCCGGGAGGGACATGGAGCCTCTCAGAACCCCCGTTTTACCGTCTAGAAAACTGCATCTCACACAGTTATTAATAGCCATTAAGATGACGAGAGTGAAAGTCAGGGCTCCCAGGGCTCTCTGTGGGTCTCTGGCCCTGTATTCCCTCCTCTGCCCACAGCAGAGGCCCCGCGAGGCCACGGGCACTGCGTGTGGGGACGGGTGTCACAGTCGACCAGCCCCTGCCTCTGCCTGCTCTTCCTGAAGTTCTTTCTTCTTTTCTCTGAGCCCCTGTCTCCCTCCCCCACCTCCCCAATGGGAGGATTCTGCAGATTGATGGACTATCACCTAGAAGGTGGGGGCAGACCCCAGATCCCTGTGTTCTTGAAGGAAAGAATTAATGAGTCCCTCAGAGTTGTCTCTGGGCTGGCCCTCATCTCGGTGCCTGCTCTGCTGCGGCTGGGACGGCCCAGTGCGGAGAGAAAGGCAGGCGGCTACAAAGCGTTGTTTGTGCTGCCCTGTGCGTGATCGGTCAGGTTTTGTTTGCCATCCTTTGTGCCCAGTGGTGCCGGTCACACGCTGAGTTCCTCCCAGAAATCTGATTGTTTGCAGTTGTAAAGTGCGGGAGCTTGGATCTGTCCGAGCAGAGGGTTAAATCATGGAGTGTTTTACAAGGGCAGCTATAGGGAATGTCTTGTTTTCTCCTTATATGGCTATTTTTCTCAGTCCAGAATCCCAGGGTGTATTTTACGTGGTTGAAATACACAAATGGAGTCATAGTCCTAGCCAAACATGCTATGTGGCTTTAAAATTAACAAGCCTCTCTGTACTTCTGAACCCCAAACACATTCCCATGCACGGTTTCCGTTGAGACGGTGGAAAGATACTCCTTCCTTCTTAGCCAAAAATATTTAACGGGGTGGATTTCTACAATTCCATCGCTTTATGCATGAGAAATATTTCTTTTGATCAGACTAGTTTGCAAGCATGTGGGTCAAATTTAAGCCTCAAGTTTTTAATGAGTGGCTACTCTGTGTGAAGTGCTACATTAGTTCACTGTGGGATAGACAGGCAAGGCAGGGCACCAAACGTTAAAATATGAAAAGGAATGATGTTTAATGATGTTCAAGATGACACTGGGAGAAGCATCAGAAGGCAGCACATGGTGAGGAAGAGGATGAGCTTGCCACAGGTGCTTAGGGGAAGGAGAATTCTGTTCAGGCTGGCGTGGTGAGAACAGGGTTTGTAGATGGAAGTGGAGGTTTGAACTAGATGGATTTGGTTATGTCAAGGGGCTTGAGGGAGGCATTCTGGGTTGGGGGAGGTCTGAAGGAAAATGCAGAGGAAGGAAAATGAAAGGGTTTTTGAAAGAAGAGCAAATAATCCAGAGCGGCTCCAGCAAATGGTTCATGTAGGAAAAAAGGAACTTCAAGTGGGAAAGGCAGATTGAGGCTGGAAGTGGATTGGGAAGTCGGGCTCAGGAGCTGGAATTTTTACTGCATGGTGAAGAGGAGGCATGGGAGGCTCTTGGGATTTGTTTTGATCTGAACCAGTCTGGGTACCAGGATTCTCAATTTATGCCTCCAAAACTTTTGTTTGTTTGTTTGTTTGTTTTTCTTTTTGGGCACCTCAGCGAAAATGACTTAATCTCGAAAATTAAGGTTGGATTAATTAAATATGATTCATAGGTATTAAAAATAAGACTCCTTATTGAAATTTCCTTATTGGTGATTTCACAAATGAGAAATGCTAAGTTTATTACTGAGTAAAATTCTTGGCCACACCTTCTGGACCACAAACTGTGAACACAGGTTTTGCAGGGAAGAATTGTTGACCAACTTTCATTCTTTGTGGGCAGAGGAGGAAATTGTGGAGGAAAAAAACCAGCATTGGATTCATATTCAGAAACACCACATTTTGAGCAAATTTGGCTGAAAATTTGCATTTCAGGGCTACTTTGGAGACAAAATCTGGCATGGGAATTATGCCCCCAAAAGGCCACTTTCTGAGTCTCATGTGATCATCAGTTGAGTTCTCTTCCAAAGATAGAGCTGGGATTATGGTGTCTACTGTAAGTGTGAAGAAACTGTCAAAAAGTTGTAATGACTTTCCCAGACTCACACGGCTAGTTAGTTCATGGTGGAGGAAGAGTCTTAGGAGCACCGAGGGGTGCAAGCAGTGTCCTTGGAATAGTGAGTCAGCAGTGCACAGGCTCCAGGGTAGCAGCAGTGTGGATATGTAGTCAGGGAGGCAACCCAGTTGGCCAGAGAGGCTGACCCAGCCAGGCGGGTGGGAGATGATTACAAGATGGCTCAGGGTGAGACAAAAAAGAGACAACATGAGGATTCTGGTCTGAGGGAAGAGTGACACCATCAACTCAAACGACAGCCCCCATAGGCCAGGTGGCATGGCACTGACAGAGAATGGCTCCCAGGCAGGGCCAGTCCCAGGAAAGATGCTGAGGGGTTGAAGGCAACTGACTCTCAAGGACCTTGGGCAAGTCACTTGATTTTTGTGAGCCTCAACTTCTCCTGTGCAAAATGAAGTGAATTATAACCCCAAGGGCAAGGTGTCAGGAGGATTAGATGAGAATATGGGGGCAAAGCATCTGGCTCAGTCCCTGGGAGATGGCTGTTTTCATTACAGATATTTTGAATGTGTGCCATTAAGAACTATCAGGCTGGTGAGCTAGAAGTCGTATGGAGATGTGCAGTTTGTCTAGGGATGAGGATGGTGTTGGGGTTTACATCTAAGAACAAAAGAGAGGCTCGAAGGGACAGAAGCTCTTTTTTTGTTATCGTTTCTAATAGATCATTGAAGATGATCAGGCAGAAGAAACACACACATGCGTGCACACACAAACACGCACACACGAATTGGGTAAAATTGAGTGGTTGCCTCCTGTTCAAGACATGTTGTAAGTGAGCAAAGTGGACCATGGCAGAGGCTTGCACTGGGGTTTATCAAGCAATATTTGATGATGCTGTTTCTCAGTTTTGAAACCTCTTTCTAAAATATTTAGTGCTTGCAAGGGGGAGTGCCAGGCTTCCAGGTGACTTGCACAGGTATTAGGTGGGCATTAAGTCAGGGAAGTGTGATAATCCCAGGTCATCTCTCACACAAGATCGGCATTGAAATGCCTGAAGTCATAAGATGGTGAAGCCAGAGAGGTTGGGGAGAAAAATCAGGATATAGATATGTTCTATATAATTGTTCATTGTCAAAATAGCTATTATTTGCAAATGTTTATTGCATAATCC